ACAGTTTCACACTTGCTCTCATGTTACCAAATAAAGCTGCCTTATCTGGGTGTAATAAAGAGGAGAAATTTACCATGCGTCATTTCCTGACTGATAAAAATGCGACATGACTGTATCCATGTTCCTTTTCTGAGTTTGGTGTAGATAAAATGTTTTAACAGAAATACTTTACTATGTATTTTAAGAGTATTGTAATATTTGTGGCAAATTTGGAAAACTGGTTTTATGACATTATAGTATTTACTTTTTGCTTATTTCTTTAAAAAAATATTATGGAAAATAATAATTCTTTAAAAGTATGGGGATAAGGCTTGAATAAGACATTTTCCTTTTCAAGTGACAGAGAATCTTGTGACTCAAAAGTGTAGTCAAAAGCATGTCACCTGGGAGATTTGTAAAGTGAAGACTCTCAGATCCTGTCCTAGACCTACTAAAAGGAATCTGCATTTTAATAAGATTCCTAGTGAATTTATGGTCAAGAAGTTCCAAAAAGTGCTAAAATACAGGAATGTTCTCAATCCACTGAACTATAGACTAAACCTTGAGGAAAGATAGAATTACTTTTAAAGAGGAAAATTTGCTCCAAATATTTAACCAAGTTATAGACATGATCCACTTTTAAAAATTTGACACTTGTCATGTTGCTGATGTATAGTAATGAAGTTTGAGAATAAAGAATATGTAAATTGAATTGACATAGTACACGAATACTCATAAACTGTTAAATTAGTTATGTACAAGTTCCCATTGTTTCCAACATAAAGTGTTCTCTTTAGCAAAACATATGCAAGTATTACATTGAATTCCAGAAACATGAAGATAACCTTAGTTGACAATTATGACTAAGTATAGTCATTTTTAAAGAATTGTGTCCAGCCAACAATGATCATGTCACTGTGGTGAATTCTGGTATGATACACTCTGGAAACTGTTTCTCAAAGGAGTTCAGCCAGGACTTCAAATTGTTGCTTTCCGCCAATTATCAGTGTCAATGTTAGGGGACAAGAATGGAGATGAACAGACAATAACTTCCACTTTTTGGTCTGCAAAGATTGGGGATTCAGCTGTGATTCAGAGTAGAAGCTAATGCGTCAGAAAGAAGATGGCTCTGGTAGCAGGTGTTAAGAAATCCTGAGCTTAACTCAAGCAATTTACCAGCACAAGGCAAATGAAGGAAGGCTGCCTCTCTGACCTTGCACACACCTTATACAACCTTCAGGCTATGGTTTACCAGTTCTGTTTCTCCACTAAAAGTTTCCATGACGTTATCATTAACCTGATTTGCCATGTAAAAGAACATGAAGCTAGAGCAGTGAAGAAAGGAGAACTTGGCTTATATGTATATTTGTCTCCCTACCACCCACACAGGGATGTCCCAGATGTGAGCTAAGGCTCATACTTTCCCTGTGTGATAATGACTTTCTATCACACTTGCACATATAAAGCATACTGCAAAGCATAATGTATGCACTCCTTCCATTCTCTGCTCTGGGTCAGTAGACCTTCCCCCTCCCTGTGCATCTCCTCACCTACAGACACTTTGGAGACAAATGTTTAATAACCATTCTAGCTTGGGAAAGAGAAATGCAGGTGCTGCTTCTAATAAAGAGCTCTTACTTTTTATGATATAACCAAATTATCCCTATTCTTCTCCTCTCAGTAAACTGGCGTAGCATTTGGCTTATAATAGTTACTCAATAAATGGTGGTAAGGTGCAATTACTTTCAAGTCCTCTTGCACTGAATTTGCTAAATCTTGGGATGTACACTGAAAATAGATAATGCATTGAGATCATACATTTGAGCTTATCCATTTACACATACTCAACATTTAGTATTTCCCCAACTTCATTATTTTCTATTTTTCCTTTCCTCATCCACCCAGAGATTTCAGTTTTAGGAGCATTTTGCAATAATACCACATTTCAAATAGTGTCTGTGCCAGATACATCATTTGTGAGTGAAAGAAAGTATCAACACATTGCAGATAGCAGGTATTTTGTTATACAGTGGACACTGGGGAAAAATTGAATGCAGCAAGCAACCACCACCCACCCCATGAAGTAAAAAGTTAGGCCTCCTCCTTATGTTTCAGCATGCCTGTTTTCCTTTTCCCTTCATTTTTCTTCTTCTCCCTTTTTCACATTCATCTCTACTAGGCAAAGGGACTGGCTGGGCATCCACAAGAGTGATCAACATTTCCCCAAGGCACTCAGATTTCCCATCTCAGCTTTCTTTATCCTAAGACTGTCACCAGAGAAAAGACATCAGGTCCAAAACAATTGTAACAGATTTTTGCTTCTCCCACAATGGAACAGAGCAAACCTATATAGGGTCTCTCTATGTATCAGCTCGTAATGATAAAAATCACAGTAATCTAGAGGTTCACTCAGACAAATTTACAGAGTTTAAATACAATGGGTTGTTTTGGAGACAGAATCTTGCTTTGTAGCCCAGGCTGGCCTCAAATTTGAAATCCTCCTGCCTCAACCTCGCAAAGGCTGGGGTTACTGATATGCACCACCACACCCAGCTGTAAATACATTAAAAAAAAAAAATCAAGGTAACATTAGTCAACTCCTTATCTATGCGTTGTTTATTGGAAAAAAATTAAATGCCCTAAAACTTATTTTAAAATAACCTGTTTTAAAATGAACACATTCTTTAAAAAAAAAAGCATGTTCATAAGTACCACTGGTTTCTAAGACAGTTCTTTTTCTCCATATGAGTGTGTAAGTCAGTGAGCTCAGTTAATGTCACCAAATAAAACAGATTTTTACATCTGTTACTGGTTCTTTGCCTAAGAATTTTGTCGTTTAAGGTTTCTGACATACAATAAATATTACAATTTCACAGCGTCTTGATAATTTTTCTCTCTCTTCCATTTCTATTCCAAAGTGTGAATATTCCCATTCTCAATCAATTTCAATATGTGGCCTTTTTTATAAGTTGCAATTATTAGCACTGGTGTCTTTTTCTTAGAAACACTATCCTAAACCAAGCCAAAGTTTCATTTCAGTAAAAAGTATTAGAGAACTAATTCTATTTTTAAAGTTATATGATAGCATCATTTTCCTATCAAATTTGGAGTTTTAGAGTATCCCCATTTTTAAATAAATCTATATTTTGAAAGAAATATTCTGAGAAATAAGGTCTCTTATAAGTAATGAAATAAAAATTTTAAACTTGGTGTCAAATTTTGCCCTTAAATTAATTTTTAAATATTTATATCTGAATTTCAAAGCTATCTTGCCATTGATACTAAATTGTCTTTAAATTTTTACTTCAATTATAATTTTTCAGTTTCTTCTAAAGCATTTTTCCTAATTTGGATTGGGCAATTAAATACAAGCCTGGCATTTTTATTAATTATATGTATATGTGGTCTTCAACAATGCAGGCTAGTTAGGGCACCAATATCCTCTATACCAAATGTGTCTGTGTTAATCATCTTGGTGATTCATTAGAAGGAACAAGTATTGAGTCAAAACAAAAACCAAAATTCTCTTGAATGGAAGGCCATTACAAGTCAGTTTTCAACTTGAGATGATACTTTGTTGAAAGTCACCATATTTAAATTGCAAGGCATATGATTACCAAAAGCTGGTAATATCTTCATTTAAAGTAGCGTCCTTGATTATAATTATTATGTACAAAATACTCTGAAAGCACATTAGCACGCAAATCATTTTGAAACCCTTTAACAATACTCTTGTGTATCCTGTGCAATTCTTGTTTTAGATTCTTATCTTCACTATCATAGTCTTCCTAACACTCATCTTTGAGTCTTTGGTATTTCCTTAAATACACCTTTGGCACCTAGTTTTTCCAATCTGTTTCATCAATTAATGACAATTCTTTCAATGATGTGCTCATAGAACAAAGGCTCCAGACACTGAAGTCAGACATCTCACTCAAACCTCAAAGAACATTCTGAGTCACTTCAAACAATTTCATGCATCCATCCAACTTGTTAAATAATTATCTTTCAAATTGTAAAAAGAGGACTTATCTGAGCTTCACCACCAAAGGCATTCTGAAACATTTTGTCAAACAGCAAATGATCAACTATTATACAAAAAAATCAGTGCAAAGTTTCATCCAGGCAGCCTTAAATGCACTCCTAGCCAGATGAAGAAATTCTTTATGTAGAATTTCTGCTGTTCTCACCAACTTTTGCAGATAAGGTTTTTAAAAATTATCAACCCCTTAAAAACATAGTTTAACAGCCTGCTCTTTTCCTGAGCTTCACAGCCTATAAAAAAAAACCATAAATGAAATTTAAACTCATACTTAAAGACCCAACACAAGGTTTAACCAATCCCTAGAACTGAAAGATAAACACATGTGCAATACTATTTCTTTAAATTTCATTTTTAAAGAGAAAAGTCTCCCCCACCACCCGCCAAAAAAAAAAAAAAAAGCCTAGAAAAGAATAAAATGGATCAGTTTGGAATAATCTGGTTGTTACATTCAGCAAGTAAATTGCAGTCTATGCTTGCTCCTTCTTGGACAGCCACTAATGATAAAAGGAGAGCAGCATCAAACAATTTTTTGGCACAATGCTTGACAAGCCAAAGCACTTCAGAAAGAATTAACTCTTCCTCTTATCATTTATAGAAAATTAGATTCATTCCAGGCTTAATCCTCAAGGACACAACACTATCAGTTTAATCTGTTACCTTTTGTTACTTTGCAATAAGAGTGGCAGAATTTGGAAATGGGGGCTTTAAGGTTGTCATCTAACAGCTTACTATAGGTCTTTTCCTGCACGTCATCTCTTTAAAAGAAAATTTTGATTCTAACACACTAATTCACTGATTTATGATAAGTGGACATATTTTCAATTCAATTTGATGGCACTAGGGGCTGGTGAGTCATAACCATGGTTCTCTCCAATCAATTTAGCATGCAGCTCATCTTTGATATCAAGTGCACTGGTAATTAGTGCCTTATGTTAACATCTTCACTATAACAGGTCAGGCATTTAGAAACAAAGTATCAATGAACTGAACAGTTACTTTAATTCATTTTATAAATAAGCAACTGAGAATTTTGCTCCAAGTGGCTGCTAGTGTAGCCCATTCCATAGATAGCATTCTCCGAAGCGTAAGGCACAATATGATACGAATGCAGCTCTTCGTAATAGAGAGACTGGGAACAGCATTCCTGTACCATAAACTTCAGCCGTTTTCTTGTATCAGAATAAGCAGTCTTATAACAGGGAGCATCTTTAAAGTATTCATAGCTCTCTTTCTCCGTCTCTAGGTGTATCTTCCTCAGCAAGTTGTTAATTAACACGGACCTTCTTAAGTAGATTTCGGGGTCTTCTAGAAACCTGAGCTTCTCCAGGGAAAGTTTGAGAATGCAAGTCCTGTCCTCAGGTAATATCAGGTGCTAGAAAGCAAACACAATCATTTATTCTGCACGTAGAACAGTGAAAATTACAGCTCTTTACTACTGAGGACATTCAGAAGCTTTTAAAAAATACAATAAGTAAATTCTTACTTTTGGAAAATACCCATGGTAATCTTGATGTAAATCTTCTTCTTCTGCATATTTTCTCTTAAAGTAGGCTACTTTCGACGTTGTTAATGAATATGTTAATACTTTTGTTGGATAAGCTAAACAAATAAAAGAATTGGAGAAAGGTCAGATGTTACTGTGGCAAAAAGTATTTTATAATATAAATTCTATTTGTAAAAAAAGGAATTTGGGGACCCCAGAAATTGCCATTCTTTCATCACTGAATACGGTGATGCAGTCATTGGCAACTGTCCTATGATTGAAAAGACCATGGGCAGAAAAATGCCACATTCAGACCCAAAATAGATGGTCTAGATCAGAGACTTATTTTTATTTCCTTATACAGCCCATCAGAAATCAAATACCAATAATCTGCTTAATTTTGTGCTTTTTAATGTCAAAACACCCAAATTTGAAATTGATACACAAAATGTAATGGGAAGAGATAAGTGAATTTTCATCATTCTTTTACTTAAACTTGCCTAATACACAGAGGGAATTTAATAATACTGAGTTAATCAAATCACCATAATGGTTGATGACCCGAGTACACTTAAAGGAAATAACTGTGATGGTGTAACAGTATAACCATCATCCTGACACATGGCTTAATGGAGGTCAGTGATAAGTAAATGAGGAGACTTGGGACTTGACTGGTATTATCTGAAAGTGAAAACCATTTTCTTCTTCTTTACAATACTATTGCTACTATCCTGAGGTCTTATAACAGGGAACTTCTTTAAAGTATTCGTAGCTCTCTTTCTCCATCTATGGATGTAGCTTCCAAAGTGTTAAGTTGTTAATTGACTTGTTTAAGGAAGAACAGTTTAAAAGAGTTCCAGAAATCATTTGGTTTTAAGGAAGTTCCTAGGATGTACTCTAGGTGGCGTTCATATCATAGAAAGGAAGCCGCCTCACCCTTCTAAAGACAAACTTCCAATTCAAAATAATGAATGAATTTAGAAAGCAAATATTGAGTGGAGTTCAGTAATCATTCAACCTCAGGGGGCCAGGCCAGAAAGAAAGCTCATATTTAAACAATTTGTATTACTTTTATTTCATACACTCAAATATTTCTGGGTTGGAACCATTCAATTCACAAAATAATGAGTAGTTTATTATGTGTTGTTTAAATAAAACTTATGGTAAGACATCTGATGCTTTTCCTCTAAAATCTTAAATTTTTTAAACCTTAAATATTAAATATTTTTTTTTCTCAAGAAGCTAGCTGTTTTAGTTTTTCCTCTAACTTGGCGGCATTTGTATAAATCTATATAAAGCTACAAGAATAGCTTTTTATAGCTGGATGGTTTCCTGACTAACCCAGGAAAGCTAAAAGTCACTCCTTAACTATTCCAAATCCTCACTGGTATCACTGCACTGTGGATTATAAACCCAAGCGAGTCTTAAAGTGGATATGTTTTGTTAAAGGAATCAAACCTAAAAACAAAGACTGATTTGTAATGATAATTTACAATCGAAGCAAAGATAGCAATTGCTGTTATATGTACACAATCCCTGAATTTAATAAGCAAAACTCAGATTACTTGGATTTTTCACTGACTTCAAACAGTTAAGAAAAAGAGAACAAAATTGGTTATTTGAAAAACAAAGCATTAGTAAGCCAAGTTTTCTCAGGACTGTTTTTTTAGCAAACTGCATTTTGTAAGAAATACTTTTAAAGGGTTTAATCGAATAATTAGGTGACAACACTTTGCTTATCTTTTGTGATAATTCTTTCTACTTCTTTTTAAATGGTTTCATTGGTGTAATGTTGTTCTCAAATGCTAGTGAGCATCCCAATCACCTGTTGCACTCATTAAAATAAGTTGCTAGGCCCCAGCCCTGCAATTTCGGTCAGTCTGCAGTGGAAAATCCACATTTTAAACACATTTCCAGATAATGCCCATGTTGCTGGTCTGAGAATCGCATTTTGAGAACCTGTATGTTAGAGCATCAGGCAAGTGTACTTGTCCTGGCAAAAAAGCCAAGTTGAAATCCATCAATCTATTGATTGTCTTAAGGTCAGAATGCCAAGCAATTGGCTTGATTGATTTTTTGTTGTTATTGTTATTGCTTCCTATACTGGCTTAGATGCCTTAGTGTCATGAACAAAGCCAGAGCACATTTTAACTAAACAATAAAGAATGAAGTCACTTTTCAACAGGAATTCCTGGATTCACATTAAGAAGCATCAAAGGCTGTTATTAGAATTGTAGCTGGACAGGTCATTTTTTTTTCTTTCTTTTTTTTTTTTAGTAAGATCCAGTGAACTATTCTTGTGAAGGGAAGACTTGGAAATGAGAAGAGTAAATTTATCATAAGCATAGATAGATAGATATAGAGATATAGATATACCTTTTTAAATGCTCATTTTATCTTCCTAAGTAATGAATGTTTATAGCATTTATAACCAATTATAAAGCTTTTAATGAAAGATACAAGAGACGGCAGATTGAAGCTTGGAGAACCAAATGTCAAGTAGACTTATTGTTCTGTCGCCCAAGTGAACCCCCAGGAGATATTTTATTTAACAGATCAAGGCAAATATTCCAAAGTTCATAAAGATCCTGTCTGGCTATGTTCAAGCACTTACCCTAAGATACAGAATCAGACCCTGAAAATATAGAGCAAATTCTCGGAAGGTCTAGATTTGAGACTCAGCTTCTCCATGGGCAACACACTTAGTAACTTAGTTTATTGCTCTTTAAAAAACACCCCCATGGGTTGTTGTAATGCTGAAAAGCTTTCACAGCTGGTATCAGTTTGGCAATTACCTCCTCGCCGGCTGTTTAGCTATTTTCAATGTTTTCCACATTAAATTTTGGAGGATGGTTTTAGCCACTTTTAGGCTAAAATATATATCAAACATAAGCTCCTACATCTGTTTTCTTGCTGGATTTGAACTCAAAAATTCAGAGCTGGAAACTATTTATTGATCATCTGGTTCAGCCTCCTCCGTGCATGGTTGAGGAAACTGGCTCAGAAGAGTCCTAGGACTTACAGTCTGGGGTGTGGCTAAGAGTTGGAGTTTTGAAGTAGGTGGAAGCAGCTCTTTGAACTCAGCTCTACCTCTTCTTAGTCATGAGCCCTTAAGAAAATTGTATAAACTCTCCACAAATCTCATTTGGAAAGTGGGGATAGAAATATACTGGCTCATAAGATCACTGAAATAATTCATGGAAAGTAGCACCACTGAAATAATTCATGGAAAGTAGCACCATTCCTAGCATATACTAAGCACTCAATCAAATCAGTCCTTATAAGCACCAACAGGCACAGATCAATCCACAGAAGCAAACACCAGCCTGGCCTACCTTTGACCTAAAGCTCTTTCGATCACTTTGCCTCCCAGAGACACTAGATTGTAATTAGACAATTGAAAGACTACAAGAAGACATTTTTTAATGGCCAAAAACATAGTACAAAATTCCATAAGCGCTCCAAGAAAATATTTCTGGTTTATGGCCATTGATCATACAAGAAGGAAATGTAAATCGTTTTTGAGACATCCATACAATTATCTGGATAATTAATTAAAGTTAATTGGAATATACAAAGAAGTTCACTTGTTGTGATCTAGTTAGCATGTATAAATATGCTTATCATGTTTCTATAACTAAAAAATCAATCCCAACCTGTGACACAAATAAAGCTGATAAAATAGACAAGAAAGGGTAAAACGACTTTGTCTTTACAGTCAGTGTTCTGAGCTCTGAGAACAGTATATAAATTA